CTCTAAATATCCTCTTGACATCCTTTGTATTGTCTCCTTCTTTTTCATTTATCCCTATCAACCTTATTTTGTTTTTCTTTGCGTCATCTTGCAGGTGTTGTATTGTTATTTCTTGATTTCTTGTTATTTTTAAAAGATCTTTCCTTTCCTGTTCACTGGCTGCAATCTTGTCTTCAAGGTCCGAAATTCTATCTTTGCATTCATTCAGGTGGTTTTTACAACTTTCAATGTTGCTTTTGATTTCCTGTATATCTCTTTGCATCTGTTTTATATATTCTGTGTGTTTCTTATATTGTTCATCCAGAGATTCTATCCTTTTGTTTAGTTCCTCCAATTTTTTAGCTGTGCCTTCTTCAGATAGTTCAGCATCTCCTTCATTTCTTTTATTATTTCTTCTTTTACATTATTTCTAGTTTGAATTCCTTCAAAACTTCCCAAGCTGCTTCTTTATTTCTGTTACTATTGTTTCAGGTATTTCAGGTATATGGCATGTATTTTCTTCTATGTACATGGCTTCTAGGCTTTCTTGGGATGGGTTGGATGTTTGAGATTGCATTTTGGTCTTTCGTTTTGTCATTTTCCTATATTACTTTGTTTCAAGTGTTGTTTCAGAGTTTCCCCTGGTTGTGTTGTAATTTGACTCTTATGTCCTGGGCTCTTGGGACTCCTCTTGTAGTAGCTCCCTCCTTGGGCAGCGGAGCCCCTGGATTAAAAGAGGCTTGCCAGGCTCCTCTCAGGTAGACCTAAAGCTTCCTCAATTTGCACAGTTTCAGGACCAGACTGGAGTTGCCTCCGCTCGGCTGGATGCTCACCTTCCGGTCCCCAGCGGTGGTAGTTGGGCCCTGGGCAGGAGATGTGGCAGCAGGGCTGGCCTCCGCTCAGCTGGATGCGCACCTTCCAGTCCCCAGCGGTGGTAGTATGGGCACCGGTGGTAGTATGGGCACCGGGCGGGAGAGGCAGCAGCAGGGCCGGCCTCTGCTCAGCTGGATGCGCACCTTCCCGTCCCCAGTGGTGGCAGTATGGGTCCCAGGAAGGAGAGTCGGCAGCAGGGCCGGCCTCAGCTCAGCTGGATGCGCACCTTCCAGTCCCCAGCTGTGAGAAGTTAGATTTTTAAAAAAATTTTTTATTTTTAAGAGATTAAGACAAAACAGGACATAACAAAGCAGATCAGAACAAAACAATGTAAGCAACACAGTATTTCACTAAGAAAACAACCTGTAATTAACAGTAACTACTACAATGTCTCTTCCGTTGAAATAGTTCAGTATAACTTCATTTACAGTAGTATCAAACATAACAAAATAGTATGAAAATATTCAAGAGAATGAGAGTATTACAGGGCATTAAGAACCAAATAACAGAAAACAAACAATGGCTACTATATTATCTTATTTTCCATAGAAAATCTGTTTATACTTTCACACATAATACAATCCAATAAGGTACAACATAATAGAGCCAGTGGAAACAAGATCAGAAGCATGGTAGCACTTTACAGTAAGATGATATTATACCAGTACTGGCTATTATAATGACTTGTTCCCCTCAAATTAGCTGTTCATACCATCACAGTTAATAAAATCAAACAAACAAGGATAAACCTATTACAACTAACTAATGTGATCATTATAAGGCTTTAAAACAATGTAATGGGGAATCATGATTACCATAAACTCTCATGTACTCTTTAACTATTTCTTACACAAGGGAGATTATACGGTGTTTATACATGTGTGTTTGATTTGTTTCGCTTCTGAGTATGGTCTCAAGTTGCACCCATTTATTAGTAAATATCTCATTGTGATCATTCTTTATAGCTGAGTAGTACTCCATTGTATAAAAATACAACTTTTTTATCCATTCCTCAGTTGATGGACACTTAGGTTGTTTCCAAGATCTGGCTATTACAAATTGTGCTGCTATAAACATGGGTACACATATATCACTGTGGTGTGATATTTTCAGTTCTTCTGGAAATATGCCCAGAAGTGGAATAACTGGGTTGAATGGGACCTCCAATCCCAGCTTTTTGAGGAATCTCCAGACTGACCTCCACAGTGGATGCACCAGTCTGCACTCCTACCAACAATGCAGGAGCATTCCTTTTTTCCCACAGCCTCTCCAGCATTTGTTGTTGGTAGTTTTCTTGATCCTGGCCATTCTTTCAGGAGTGAGATGGAATCTCAGTGTTGTTTTAATTTGCATTTCTCTAATGACTAATGATGATGAGCATTTTTTCATGTATTTATTTGCCATTTGTATTTCCTCACCTGAGAACTGTGTATTCATCTCAGATGCCCATTTTTGGATTGGGTTTTCACTATGTGGCTGAGACTAGTCTCAAAGTCTACGCTTGCCACATATGACTGTGCATCCTGTAATCCAAGCACTTTGGAGGTTAAGGCAGGATAGTTGCAAATTTGAACAACAGCAGCAACAAAACATGTGAGAAACTTGGGTTTAGTCTCCATTATTATAAAAATAAATAATTTGGGCTCAAGTGATCCTCTTGCCTCAACTACCCAAGTAGTTGGGACCATATGTGTGTATTATCACATATATTCTTTTCTATTTTAAAAATGTTATTACATGTGTAAAAATCTTCAGTCTGTTGAATTTGACATTTTTTAACCAAAATGGCACATTTACATTGTACAATCTGAATTTTTTTCAGGTAATATTGTTTTTCAGGTAATATTGTTTGTAATAATGATGCTTATAGTGCATTTATAGTTATACTCTGGTGTATGAATGGATTATATATTTTTATTCTGTTGAAGATAACCATTTTATATACATTTGATTTGTTTTCTGTTAGTATTATGAACATCTATGACAATTTTTATTTTCCTAGTTTTCTATATGCACAGGGTATTGGTTCTAGACCTCTGTAACAAAATTTAAGGATGCTTAAGTTACTTATATGAAATTTCATAGTACTGTGTTTGCATATAATCTATACACATTCTCATGTATATGTAAGTCATCTCAGGATTACTTGTAATACCTAACACAATTTAAGTGCCATGTAAATATTCTGTTTTGCTTACGGAATAATGAAAAGGAAAGTTTATACATGGCATGTATGCGGTGTTTTTACTAATATTTTTGTTCTATGGTTAGTGTGGAGCCTGTAGGTTACAGAATGGCACTGTATATGTTTTTAAGTCATGAATGATATTGAGCTATGTCTTATGATTATCAGTGGACATAATGAAATAATTTTTCTTTTTAATCTGTTAATGTTATGAAATACCTTTTTAGGTGTTCTGATATTAAAATATCTTTCCATACTGGGATAAACTCAATATTTTATTTTTTGAATTGAGATTGGTTTGCTAATATTTTGAAATTTTGTGTCTATTAGTAATAGGGTGATAATTTTCTTTTGTTATCCAGGTTATATTAGTCTTGTAGAATGAATTGGTAAATAATTTTTTATTTCCTAGAAGATTTACAAGACATGGAATAATTTGTGCTTTGAGAGTTTGTTAGAACTCACATTAAACTGTCTATAAATCTGGCGTAGATGTATACCGTCTGATCCAGTTCCTTTGGAACAATTTTTTTGGTAGAACAATTTTTAAAATAGTGTTTTTTGAGTCAGTTTTGGTGAGTTAATAATTGAGTTCTACTCTGCCATAAAGAAGGATAAACTTGAGACATTTATTGCTAAATGGATGGATCTTGAAACCATACTCTTAAGTGAAATAAATCAGACATACATGTAATACTGTACTGTCTCACTGGTGGGAGAAACTGAGGATAAATAAGAAAATCAAATTGTATAAGAGATATGGTGAAATGGAAAGAAATTATTCAAAAGGAAAGAGGAACTAGGGAAAGAGGTGGGGGAAAGGAAGGAAATCAAAAAAAATGAGAAAAGAAGGATAAAATGGAATCAAAGCTTTTAAGTGTGAGAAGAGGGGAATGGAAGGGAAAAATCAAGGTATATTATGCACAGGTACAAAATTTCTATGATGAATGTGATCATTGTATGTACCTAAATTGTACCAATAAACTAAAAATAATTATTTTTTAGCTCATTGAGTTTAGTGTAAAAATTTAAATGCTGATAAGTAGTATTTATCGTATAATTCTGACATGTTATTTATGTATGTAGTTTGGCCTGGCTTTGAACTCACTATGTATTCCAAACTGGCTTTCAACTCACTGGGATCCTCTTGTCTCAGCTTCTCAAATGCTGGGATTACAGGCATGTGCCACTATGCCTGGATAGTTATGATGTTTTAAATTTGCATTTTGAGTTTTTCCTCTGAATTGCGGTTTACATGGAAGTATTTTAAAAATACATTTCTAAATGTAAGTAGAATTTAAATTTAGTAACTTCTGATTTGATTGCATTGTAATCAGAGTTTTGTGTAAGTGATACTGAATTGAATTTTGTTGAATTTATATGGAAGATTTTACCAACATTTTGTTGTTGAAAGTTCTAGAATGTTGAATACTGTTTATTTCTATGAAATTTGAGTGAGCAGGATTCTGTGGATTATTAGACTTTATTCTCCTTTGATCAGTTTTTGTTTTTGTAGACAGTGCATATAAGAACACCTTTATGTATATGTGTAACTTTGAGAGTTTGTATAGAATGAAAATTCATATTGATTACTTTTAAAAACTATATGCCTTTTAAATTAAGATCGATTGATCCAATTTATAGTCTACAGTGTGTGATTTGTGTTTATTTTACTTATATCCTTTACTGTTCTTAGCATTAGCAAACTTTAATACTTTTCTAGTTAATCATGTGGTAAAAATTATTGTCTCTTTTGATTTATAGTTCTTTAGGTTTTAGTGAGATATAGTAACTATTTTCTTTTGGAGACCACCTATTCATCTTTATATCCCATTTTTTACTATGCTGTTTATTTCTATATAAAATTTCTCCTTTGCTGTATGTGGCATGTTGAAAAGGATTAAAGTTTGCATACTACCTAAATACTTCTCTTCAACGTGCTTAAAAATGTTACTTATTTTAGAAATGGATGATGGATCATCTCAACAAGATCATTTCATGAGAAGCCACTTTGCCTCTGGGAGGAGTTTGGGAAATAGAGGTATGAATTTTAGTCTTAACCCTAATTGTCGAGCGATGGAATAGAAGAGTAGAGGCTTTTGGTCAAAGCTAAGCTAAGCCTGTTCCTCATACCCTAAAGTGAGGATTGAGCCTAGGGCCTTTACAATGAGCTATATCCCTAGTGTTTTAAAAATTCATTCACTCATCATGGTCTTAAGGATTTAATACAGGTCCTTTGCACTAAGATACTCTCCATCCACTTTTTAAAAACTTTGTATGTTGAGAGAGGTTTTCACTAAATTACTGAGTTGCACAGGCTAGCAGACAAGGTCTTGCTAAATTGCCTGATTGGGCTCAAACTTCTGCTTTAACCTCCTAGAATGGTGAGATTAAGGTGAACACCACCAAACTCAGTCTTTTATAACTCCTGTATAGTAGATCTTGTTGAGACAATAAGTTCATCATTTTTTCAAATCAATGTCTTTTTGGTTTTTACTTCTTTGGACAACTGTGACATAGTTAAGTTGACTGAACAGACATACTGGATGGATGGGCAGACAAATTTGTTGAATAGATTGTTTGGACAGATCTTTCACTGTTTTTAAATTTATGATTACTGATTTTTAACAGTTGACTTGGGAACATGTTTGTAAAAGCTTAGAGATTGGGATGAAAAGACCTCTTTTTCAATTTTTATATTTCTTAGGAAAGGGAGCATGGAAAGCATTCCTTTTAGCTCATTGATGCTGTGTTTACAAGATTATTTTCACAGGCTTAAGTTTTTAAAGGTCACTTTTAAGAATTGCTATGTGCTTCAGTCATGCAGTTGGTTAGCACATGATATTTACACAGCAACTACAGGAGGTTGTTAGATAATGACAGCAATATATCTTCCTGCAGTCCCTTTTTTAGACTTAATTAAAATGCTGAAAATATTCTACTTTTTTATTATAACACAATAATATTGTTAGAACTTCTAAGTCTGTTTAAAATCTATATGACCATTTCTTTTAGGTGATCTCTTTGCCTAGGGCTACTTGGTAGTTTTAAATACATATAACACCCTTAAATTTATTTTTTTAGAGATGTTTTTCACTGTTCCAATTATTTTTATTTTTATAGGGGTATGAAGGTTGATGTATGTATCACATTAGCCATTTGGAAATCTTAGATAACAATGAGCATAAATTTGAATGTTATATTTGGACATTTTCCTGCTATTTACATAATTTACTTTTCAAATATATTTTGTTTTTAAAGCTGCATATTAAGTAGGATTATTGCTAGTTTGGTTAAAAAACTGAAAGCTGAGTTTGCTAAGAGATATAACTATAGATTTTGTTGGCTATTACTATCAACAGAAGTAATATCTTAATATACTTAGAATATTTACTATTTAGATACATTTTTAAATTTTCTGTTAATCTAAATATTTCAGCTTCATTGGAATAAGAAATATGTAGAAGATTAGTAAAGCACATGGCTTCAGTGTATCTAGATAAGTCACGGAGGCATGAGCTTCAGTACTATATATTATAGATAGTCTTGCCTCTTTATTTTTGGTGTAGTCTTCCTGCCCTACTTTCCAGCCACTATGATCTAAATATCTGCTCCACCATGTCCTTCTGCCATGTCATTCCTGCTATAAAGCCAGCTGACCATGTACTGAATTCCTGAGTCAAATTAAACATTTCCTTTTTTAAACTTTGGGTGTTGGGTATTCTATTCAACAACAGGAAAGTTAATTAATAGGCAAAATTGGTTCCAAACAAGTGGAGTAATTACTGTCACTATATGTAACTATGTGGTTTAGAAAGCCTTTGGAACTGGGTTTATAGGAAGTTGGAAAATTTTGTAAACACTGGCTATTCAAGATCTAGAATCCTATAAACAGAGCCCTATTTTGTGACTCTAGTCAGAACTCAGAAGATGCTAACAGAAATGCAAACACTAAAGGACGGGTACAGAAGGTTTCAGTTGGGAACAAGCACTCCATTGGCAATTGGACTAGACACGTAATATGTTACACCCTGACAGAAAATTTGTATACACACTGCCTGTGTCCCAAGAATTTGCAGCAAACTAAGATTAAGAGTAGTAGGCTAATGAATCTGGCAGAGGAAATTCTAAGACATCTCAACATTCAGGATGTGGCATGGATACTACTGGTTGTTATTAGCAAGATTTATAGTGAGAGTCAGGGCCTAAAGGCAGAGAAGAAAAAATTTTAAAAACTTAAAATTGACTTAGAATTGTGTGTAAAGTTTGGGCCTAAGGAGGTGTGTCTGCTGATGAAATCAGTGCCATTAAAAAAGAAATAAAAGTGTTTTTCACAAGGACAAGAAAAAGGACACCTTGAGCACAACCCCACCTATCATAATCTCAGAGTTACAAAAGTGTAAACTTTTCATTTGGGAAGAGAGTCCCTGGAACTCCTGCTAGAATGGAGCTGTTTAGGGAATTGGTTCCTTAGAATTCAGTTCACTCTGCTCTGCTGTCCAGGAATTTAGAGGTTGTTGTAGCAAAGGTCCAGCGGGTTCTGGATGCAGTCCCTGGTCTTTTATGTGATACTGGTTTTACTAGCATGCAAAACACAAGCTTTTACCAAGTTTAGAGGAAGAATTTGGAGGTTAGACAAGGAGCCCCCAGGAGGGCAGTGTGTTGAACTGTGATAATGAAGCCAGTGGAAATTTGAGGAAGTTGAATATGCCAGTAATGAGGAATTTTGTCAAGGAAGGCTTCAGACTGAGTAGATCCAGCCTGAGAGAAAGAGAGAGACTGGGTGGATTGCAGCTAGCAAAGCCATAGAGGTGGCCACAAGCCCACTGGAACTCAGGTTTTATAACCATGTACCCTAGGTGCCAGATATGGAGCTATAGAACGTAATGTTTGGCCTGCTGGGTTTCAGTATTGCTTTGGTGTGATTCTTTTCTATTTCTCTATTCCTTCGATCATGTTCATTCTGTTGTATTTTGTTTTTGATTTTTAGAGGTTCGTAGTTAAGAGCCTGTCTTCAGTCTTAGAAGAGTGTTGGATGTGTGAAAAATGCTGAGACTGAGACTTTAGGAAGGGATTATTCCTTATTATTAAACTTAACTAAGTTTTATTTGGAAATTAAGTGTATTTTAAGTGTATTTAAGCACATGATGTGCTTTCATGTGAGGTTGACAAGAAGTAGATTATGACTACTAGTCTCTGCTATGTCAATTTCATTGGATTAAAAAATTAGTAAACTTGTATTATGGTTTATATCTAGATGTCCTTCCCCAAAATCCTCATGAACTGATAGATACGGCTTGTAGAAGTGATTAGATTATGTGTATGATACTGGATTAGTTTGCTGATTGGTATAGCATAGTTCTGGGTATGGATGATGGATATACTAAAGAGGAATGATCTACCCTGGGTATGAATGGCACCAACAAATAAACTTATAGCCTGGATAGAATAAAAAGAGAAAGAGTAAGTCTCATTGATCCTATGCCATTGACTGTTTATCTTCTGCTGTGTCCTTTTGTCGTGCTGCCTTACAGCCAACCAACTGTGGGCTGAAACCTCTACAAACTGCTAAAATAAATCTTTCCAACTCTTAACTTGTAGGTGTTAGGTATTTCATCCCAGCAACAAGGAAGTAACTAAAACAGCATGCTTCTGGGTATGTCTGGGTGGGTCGTGGAGTTATGGCCTTAAGTAGCATATATGGTCTTTGCTGATTCCCTTCAGATAGTGTTTATGGTCACCATGAACTAACCAGCTTTGTTCTGCCATGCACTTCTATCATATTTGTCTCACTTTCCCAAATTGATGATACACTGTATGTAGTACCTCAAAGAGGTGTTTATTTTGGGTCATGGTTTCAGTCAATAGTCAACTGGCACCAGGGCAGAAAAGGCATGGTAGAAGTACATGGTGTAGGAAAATGCTTACTACATGGTGTTCTGGGATTAGCAAAAGGAAGAACTAGGTAGGAAAGTAAACTCTTATAGTTCATGCCTCCAGCGACTTACCTCTTCTGACCAGGCCTTACCTCCTAATAGCACATTGAGCCATAAACTCACTAGTGAATTATACTGCCCCCATAATCCATTCATCTTCCAAACATAAGACTTTTGGGGGATATTATCTAACACTTTACCTTTTGTCCCCGAAAGTCTCATGTCCATTTCTTGATGAAAAATGCATTTAGTCTCTCACTAAGAGTCTTAATATTAAGTCCCAGCATTGCTGAAAAGTCCAATTGCAAAGTCTTTTCTGAGACTCAAGGCACACTGTCAGCTGTGAGTTCCTCTAAAACTGAAAGAGTTAAATACTTTCAACATACAGGGAAAGCATTCCCATTCCAAAAGAGTGGAGTAGGGAGATAAAAAGGAATGGGAGCAAAGCAAGACCAAAATCCATCAGGAAAAATACGAAATCTTCTACTTCAATGTCTAGCACCTTGGGCAGGTTGTGAGCTTCAAAAGGCTTGGGCGACCCCACCTCTTCATCACTGCTTGTTGGAACCCTCATGTCCTCTCTCTCAAGGAGCTCTGCTCACTTCTCACAGATTTCCTCAGCAGACATTCCATGTTCTTGAATCTTCCAGCTGAGTCTTTACTACACTTACAGCTTCACTCTCACAGCTTTACATAAGAACTTCTTAAGAGCACAGTGCTTAACCCCTCAAGCCTCCCTGTAACTTTTGCATTCTGTGTGTCTGTAGAACCAGCACCACACAAACAATGCCAACTGCTGTCAGCTTGAGTTGTAGCCAGGAACTGTTGGACATCAGTGTTCTGGATAGCTAAGCATTCTTAAATGATTTATTGTATATTTATTTCTTAAGTGGCCCTTCTAGAGCAGGAATCTCAAGGGCTTTCTTCTGAAGTGAAAGCTTTACAGTTTTGTACCATTGAGTCTAGGAAGGATGGAGTCTTGCTGGTTCCTAGATTGTTTAAAACCATCTTCCCCATTTTCCTGATGCAGAGTATTTGGCTTCTTTTTAATGCTAATCTTTTCAATAACCACATTCTCCTTTGCCCTAACTTTGCAGGTTTCCTT